TACCCATTTTATAATCCATAATTAAACCGAATAATAGACATTTTAAACTATATAAAAAGTTTAAAATATAAATCTCATGAAAAATTCTAAATAAGAAGTTATCCGGACAAGTTATCCGGATATGAAGTCCGGACAACACTTGTCCCTTTTGTCCGATTTACTAATCCGGACAACTCATCGCCCAAGGCTTGTACGATTTAACACTTGAAATTATTCCAACACTCTTGTCCGGATAACAAGTCCGGACAATACATCGCCCAAAGCTCGACCGATTTAAAAAATAATTCGGTCACCATATGATCGTATTCCTACTTCTCAATTCAAAATGTTAACAATTCTTATCATTCATAGCTCGCTCAAAGCTTAACCGGTTTAAAACTAAACCGCTTAACGCTTGATAGGTTAAGGGCTTAATCGCCCAACTCTTGTCCGATTTAAGAAATATTCGGACAAGCTTTGTCCGATTTAAACCTAATCCGGTCACCCTTTGTCCGGATAAAACCCTTAAACAAATTCATGATTTCTTTCCACTAATAATCAACATTCAAATAAATCCAGTATCAAATTTTATGTAAAAGAAATTAGAAATCACTCACCTTATGAGAATTCGCAGTTTTTGAAGGAGATTGCATTTCTTTTGAATAACCAGACAACTCTTCTCAAATCACTCTTTAGATTTCAAAAATGGTAAGGGAATGAAATGAAGGTAAAACTCTCCCTTTAATACYTTTCTAAAACAGGAAAGGTCGGCCATCCAGGCCCTTACCCACATGCATGCATGTACACATAATATTTCTTACATACATACACATATAAATTTATGCATACACCTCATGCATACACACTCCACATATATATATTTTATACACATATATATGTATATATATATATATATATCTACATATTATGCATATATCCCTATGCATAAAAATACACATACTCACATATTAAATTTACGTAAGTATGTATCCACATAAACAGTTAATTCACATAACAAATACCTAGGGTAATTGTGTGTCCCTCTTCAATGATCAATCTTCATACATCTTCATAACAATGGCAGATCTATGATTTATCTTCAAGAACACAAGATATACTTTGAAAGAGAAAGTCAAACATTCAATACTCAGTCAAACTCTCTATTACGTAATGTGTTTTACAAATGAGCTCTCTTCTCTTTCAATTACAAAGACATTACCCTATTTATAGGGTCAAACTTCTAAACACAAGTCAAAGTCAAACCTGCCTAAGAAAAGTCAAACACGATGACTTTTACAATTATAGACAATATTTAACTTTCAAGATGAATACAATTTAATACTGATTTTCTGTCCTAACATTCTCCCCCTTTGTATTCAGACTTGAAAGAAATTCTGCACTTTGAGTTCTGTTTGAACTTTGAAACTTTAAGCATATTATGTCATCTTCAAAAGAAAATTCTTCATCTTAAAATCTTCTAGCAATCAACTGTTGAAAAAGATCTTCTAGCATTCTCCCCCTTGAATGTAGAACCGCAGTAATCTTCTCTTTTGACAATGTAGAACTCTAATTAACAGAAACAATGTACAATATTTGATCTTCAAAAAATCTTCAGACAACAAAACTTTAGTAAACTGTTGTAAAGATGATTTTCACATTCAACATCTCTCAGTTGTTGTAGCGCATGAAGAATCTTTCTATAATTACCTTCAGTCGCACTTCTTCTTTTGAGTCTTTTGCCATTATCAAAGTTACTCCCCCTTGATCCTTGCATCAGATTCCCTTTAAAAAGTTCGGAAATGAATATTTCATTCATTATTACATACTCCCCCTTATGACGAAATGAGAATCATTCCATCATACATAAGATGAATGAAATCTTCCGTGTAAACCGTCAATTCAAGAAACTGTAAGTAGATCTTTGCAAATCCACTTATTTAATCTTTTCAGATTAAGGGAATGGGAAGGTAACATCCAATTTCA